GTCAAAATGAAGGAAATTAAATGAGAAGGAGATTTGGGCTAGCACTCTTACTGAATATTCAGAACTGAAAGATGCAGAAATGGTGAATTTACTAGATGTACATGATCGTTTAAAATCCTAACTTTATTCAAATTCAGCCGCAAAATATTTTCAAGACATATACCATTAGAAATTGCTCTGTTAGCCAAACCATCATTCATTACTCGGAAACTGTACTAGATTTGTAAAATAATGAATTTTGAGTTGTGAATGACCATTGCCATTTGCAGATGAGTTATATTTACTTAGCACACTTCAGTTCACATTTTAGAAAGCTCTCTGATACACTGGATCCCTTCCTGCTAAAGCAAAGCAAGATGTAGTCTGAGAGAACACATTAAAGTACTTAGACCATTACAAACATTGTATCTTTGGGACCAGATTAGAGCTAATCTAAAGTAAATGTCTATAGTGCGGGCCAGATTCTTTCTAGATGTTTCACTCTACAGATCTATAGTTGTTTTATCAAACTGGTTTCAAATGTAGCCAAAGCTGGTTTATCCCCAGCTTACTTACATCTGTGAATAACAGAATAATAAATTGATTAGATTATAATATCATAAATCACCTTTTTTTAATTAAGTTACCATTTAACAAGATAGAGCAAAAAGAACTTAGTAAAGTGGAGGTAATCATAACAACTTTTGAAGTATTGATAGCAATGGAAGAATTCATTATTTACAAAATGTTCATTCTAAACCCTAGCAAGCAGGTAGGGGTAAGATTCATCTTGTCTAAACCCTAGCAAGCAGGTAGGGGTAAGATTCATCTTGTCTAACTGTTAATATCTACTCCATCATTATCTACCTCTGAACCAGTCATCTAAACTCTATTACTCAATAAATACAATTAAACCAAATGCAACCCAGTTTATTCCAAAGTAAATTGAAAAAAAAAAAAAGCTGGACAAGACTCAACCCTGCTGTAGGATTCTTTCCATTGACTCCACTACATTTAAATTCCCCCTTCTAGGATATCTTTAATATTTCCTAAATAATTCCACAAGCAGAGGCAACCAAAATGGAAGACAAGTGAAACAAAACGTACAGTTTTCCTTGTATTTTGGGGGGTCCGGGACGTGGACTGCAGCCAGAATCAAGAAAAGCACACATGGCCAGAGTATTTCAGTGAGAGACAGTATCTGAAAAGGGAAATCAAAACATCCTCAGTACTGTAGGAAACAGTACTTGGGAAAAAGCCATTTAAATTCATATACCTTTCAATTAAAAAAAAAAAAAAAAATTATATATATCCTCTCTATGGCTGAGGAAAAACAAGATCATTTAGTTATTAATTGGCTTTTAGACTTCTATTTAAAATCCTTATAAGTTTGCCAGATACAGTGCTTTCAGAGTACAAAAGTAGTTTTCACTTCTTCTATTTATAATGTTTGTTGATATTTCCCTCTGGTCAACACAGTAAATCTGACAAGGTGATGACAGCAACATCCAGCTTTTCCCATACCTGAGCATCCTAAGAAGCCAGCAGCATTCTGCACCTTGCTGCAACTACTCGTGTTACCCTGGAGCCTACTATTTTGAACCCTGCCCAGGAGCCTACCTCCTTGTCCTTCCTGAGCTCCCTGACTGCTGTCATTAACTCTCATCAACTTAGTCATTATTTTATTTTATTTTATTTTTTACACTGATGCAAAAACATACATTTGCAAAACTGAGGGCACTTGGCAGTAAGGAATTTCTAGGGATGTTTATGTTTTTTAAGTGTGGAAGAAAGTATTATGAACTGTGAAGGACAGAAGCAGGGCAAAGATGGCACTCACTGTAGGGGCAGATGAAGAACAAGAATTATAACAGCATTTTCTCTCATGCTTAACAATTATTCCAAAATGAAAATTATTAATAATAGCACCTTTTTTAAAAAGGCATAGTTTTAGGATAGCCTATGTTTCTGTTTTCTCCTAATAACTCTATTAGCAATTACATATGCCAAGCATTTCATAACCTGATTATAATCCAAATTCTCCTCTAAACTAGGGTATCAGAACAAAAGAATTTGGGAATCACATTTCACTCTTTACCTAGCTTCAAATTTGGATGGGAATAAACACTATATAAACACTAGTTAAGAAATTATGTGATAGAAAACTTAAGTAATACAGATGCCTGGTAGTATGTATCTCCTGATTAAAAAAAAAAAAAAAGAAGAAATTAGAAGGTATCCTCCTCACAACTCCAACTTCAAACCCCAACTAGTGTCCAAATGTGTATATTATCCTCTGCTGCCTTTCAGCCACATTAATAAGACACACTGATGCCTGGTTGAATTTCAATCAAAACATTTTCTTTATCAATCAAAACAATTCTTTATGGATGTTTTTGTAAAACCTACAGGAAGGTAACTGCCGGATGCACGCAGCTGACTCATTTCTTTATCTCTCTGTCCAGTTGCAGTCACAAGTGAAAATACAATTGTTCTTATCAGGGTGTTATTCTGGCACATTTCCTCTGAAGATAAGAGCAGTACTTCATTGCATGAAAGATGTGTTTGTAGAGCACCCTCTTGCATTAGGAATACAGCATTACAGGATGTTAAGCAATAGCAGGATACTTGGTCTCCTTTGAATTCTAATTTTAACTTGCCATACATCCCTTTACTCCATCTATCAGGAAGCACAGAAGAAAATATCTTAGCAGAAAGAAAAGTACAATGTCCTAAGGAACAGAAGGCAGGAGAAAGGACATATTGTCAGAAAGCGAATTGCTGAAGTCTTCAAGAGATTTCTGCTTGGGTCTTGTGTATTCATTGATCAGAATAGTTGTATCACTCCATGAAAGCTTGAACCTTAGCTCTCTAGGCCAGGCCATGATGACAGCTCTTACCTGCTGTGTGCGAAAATGCAACTTTCATATTAGTTACGAAAATAGAAGTGCCTACTTTATATGACTGTTCATACCAAAGCCTTGTACTTTCAATTAAGAAACTTTTTCTTTTTAATCATTTTCCAGATTTTTGCTGTCCTACCTTTGAAAAGAGAAATCACACCATGTCAGATTAATACCTCCAGCATAAATGCAATAAAATGCTTCCCCAAAGCTTCACACAGCCACTTTATCTGTTTCTTTGTTTTCTCAATGAAGTATTTTTTCTCCTTTTCTGGTAATTCATAGTAGATATTTCTTTTAAAACAGCAAGTTTTTCTTCCAAACCCATACTAGTCAACTCAATATAAGCTTTTCTTCAGCCAAGAGTGCAGGACATTGCTTCTTAATTGAACATTTTAATCTCCTTGCTGCTGTTGTGAGAACAGGAAGCCACAGAGGATGTGCTTTATTGCATATTTCCCAGGGGAACTCAAAGGGTGAAAGCACCAGACAGAATTAAGCACAGACTTTTAAAAATTATTATTTTTTAAATAAGAAAGGAACAGTTCAAACAAAATGTGGAACCATTCCTACATGATTCCCTCCCTTAACGTGAAAGAAAAAAGGCTTTTACTGAAAACACATTCCTTGCATATCCCAAACATTAAATGAGAAAATGTTGCTTTAAAATTAAAGGAAGACTAAATTACTAAATTAAATCATGGGGGCTTTAAACAAACAGACATTTTTAACTTTTCCAATATGCAACCCCACTATGCTCTCCAGCTGAAAATTCATTAAATTGAAGGAGATTAATCCTCACTGGCAGTTTCCTATTCACAAAAGTTTTTTTTTTTTTTTTTTCTTGTCACATTGCTTCCAGTTTCTGCCACTCCATTGTGAACGCGCCTACTACTACCTCATTCCCTCTTAGATGTCTTATGCTTAGTAAATGTTGGAGACTACAAACCTCAAGAAGAAAATCTTATTTAGCTGGACAAAGGCAGCTGTTTTGTGAGTTTATTCAGGTACTTCTACCTGTAATGACTCTTTTTCCATTGTAACAAAAAAAAAAAAAAGGCATTTTTCTTTAGTTGACCATATAAATTATATTCTACCAACAGCAGCAAAGCAACACTGAGTATGATTTAAAAAGGAAACAAACACTAAACCAACAGTAGTGAAAAATGGAAGAAAATTTGATGGCATATACAGTTGATAGGTATGCTCCAGTTTTTCAGAAGAATTGGGAACTATGCAACAGTAAGTGTTATGTCCTGAAGACACGGAGATGAAAACCAACTTAAAAAGAAACAAAGAAAAAGGAAGAAAAATGAGCTATCATAATGCAGTCCTCAAAACACGCCATGCATCTTCTGAATGTCTTTGATTCTATTCTGTAAGCAGAAACCTTGATTCAGCAACAGATACACCAAGTTCATCAACACAAAATCACTTAATGCATAAATGTTTTCTGGGTATTGATTCGATCGTATAGTTAAAATGGGATGTGAATGGCTTTTTTGGATCAATACTTAGGAAGTACACACAATCAACAACTCAGTGTCAAGTCCGTGATGCTTAGAAAATTCCCACACTTTGCAATTTCATTAAATTTTAATATATGAAAATAGTATTGTTTATTTGTCAAAGTTTGCAAAACATAAAACGCATTCACTTTCAGTTTTCTTTACAAGTGAAGCAGCAAATACAATTAAACTTTATATAACTTTTTATAACAACAAGAAAGGGATTAGCATTCTTAAGTTAATTTTAATTTAATGGTTTGCAAGTACTTAGCAATAAAGCTTTGATTTTCTTCCTAGTTTTTCTTTTACAACAGGGGTAAATAAAGCTTTTTTATATGTTATAGCAGGCTTGTCCTTCACAACAGATCCACTTTCCATTTCACAGAAAACTAAGTCTTATATTCAGCAACGCATACCTAAGCAAAACTCACAGGAACTCCAGTCAGCACATTCAGGTGCCAAAGCACCATGATGTAAATGGTTAACTCCCACAGACACATGGAATGTTGGAATGTATTCTGTGGCAGAAGACTTCTAATGCATAGAAGTCATGATCATTACTTTAAACTGTGCAAAAACCTTCTGCTTCTGTAAGACAAAGATGTATATTTCATACTTTCCCCAGACTTTTCTTGATGAAATATCCCACTAACTTCTGTGGTCTCTGCTGATACTCCACAAGTACATCATGTGAGCTCCTAATTTGATCCCCTTCAAGGCGATTCAGAAGAGTGACACACACTACGGCAGCTAGAAATTATAAGAAGCATTAGTTAGGAATGACCTAGCACTTCCACAATCCAAAACCATAAACATTTGAACAAACAACTAGAAGATTAGAAATACAAGAGAAAACAACCCCCCAACAACAGTGCATAGTACCATAAGATGCTAGGGGACTAGCATGCTGTATATGATACAAAAAAAAAAGTTACAAAAAGTTTAAGCCAAGTGGTTGCTACATCAATACATCAAGAGCTCTTGGGCATCTGCAGAAACTGTTATATCATGATTCTTATGTTTTTCTGGGTAGGAATTATATTTCACAAGTAGCCAGGACTTGATAGGTAGGAAATAATCAGAGATGCTATTCTAGCACACAGTGCTCTGCTATCTACCTTATCCACAACTCAAGTCTCTGTGCTGAAATCCTATCCCTCAGGAACCAGCAGATGAACTGTTTTGACATTCATGGGGTATGAGTACGGCACAAGGATCTCATGGATCATCTCAGGCTTATCTGCTGCCTTTTGGACATCAGAGCCCCAAAGGTACCTTTCACTTTTACCCCAAATCCTCCTTTCACTGAAGCTGAGCTCTACCATAGCTCTTCTGTACCTGTGACAATTTTCAGAGCACAAGCAGTAATACACATTAGAGACCTACAAGACAATGACAGCAAAAGGGACCAGGCTCAGTGATAGCATTTTTTAGAGGTAGGGGGTTTAATCACTCAGGTCATTTGAGGGTGATGTAACTGTTGGTCTTTTTGCTTATTTTGCTTCATTTCATATCTTTAAGAAATTTTGAGAAACATCAGTGATTTAAATTGGCAAAGTCCTTGCCAAGGAAAGTGAGAGACTACAGCTACTATGGTAAGTTTAAAGGCACTGTATTACATTAATTGTAATCGGGGTTTTTTTTTTCCCCCTAATCTTTACAAAAAATTACCTTATATAAAAAAACCAAAACCCCATTTTATGATTAGGAATGTTTTATTCATTATGCTACTAAAAATCTTTAGCTGTTTTAAGAATTAAAGCCATAAATCTATTTTCAATTTGATGTGGAAGTAAAGAAAGTGATTATAGTTTTATGTCTGAGAAACAACTCACTGATTAAATTAACCATTTGCTTCCTGTAAACTTCAAAAATCAACTGAAGAAAATAAACTAGTACTATAGCATAATTAGGTACTTCAATGGTTTATGTGCTTGCATGGGTTGGAATAGCAAACAACAGGACTACATTGTATAAGAACTATGTGACTAAATTTGCATAAATTTTTAATACATATGATACAAATCAAACAATCATAGCCAGAAAACTATAGCCTTCTGCATATTAAAGAAAAAACAACCAAACAAACAAAAATCCACACCACAGTTCTGGTATTTTAACACCTCCTTCTCAGTTTTTACCAGAAACCCCGCGCAATGCATAGAACTTTCTACAGCTTGAGTAGCGTGACTTTAAGTACGCTTACCTTTGACATTGCTGAGATTACACATTGCAGCAAATACAGAAGACTCCATCTCTATGTTCCTGACACCAGAATCATAAGCTTGCTTCAAATATTGCAGTTTCTCTTCTTCATTATATAAGCAGATTGCACCATCCAACCTGCCTTGTCCTGTAATGTCATTTTGCATAAATTTTCAGTGATGAAGTCACAGAACAAATTTAGTTTCTAAAATACACAATTACTGCAGCTTCCCCTATAGAGTGTCCAGCTTTTACTACTACTTGTAGTAAGTAAATGCACCAAGATAAATTGCACAAACTGATTCTTAGCTACTGCTACAGTTTCTACATACTACTTTTACTTTTTATAACGTGAACCATGGTAATTTAATTGGGCTTCTCCAGCTTACATTCTCAAATTCATAAATGGGAAAATGTAAGTAGTAGTTTCCCACATATGGGGCACGTGTCAAAATTCAGCAACAAACTGTAAGCTCTATGGAAGTGCTCCATTCTTTTGTTTCATCATTGCCTAGAAAAACTGCCAGGCTTGAAAATGCCTTCCTGATGCTACCTTAAAACGATTAACACCTTATTACTCACAGACTCTCTAAGGTAGGAGATGAAGAGTTTAAGCTAACTACGTAATACTGTTGCCAGTTCTGAGAGAATCAGTTTATTCAATTTATCCAAGACTAACACCTACAGATAAAACAGCAGCAGGTGATGTACAGTGAAGTCAGATTACACAGTGGTGTTTATTCAGTATCTTTTTTATTTACAGGAGGTGTACTCCTAAATTAATGCCCTTGAGCATGTTCTCAGTTTTTGCTGTATGAGTTGAAAAGAACCCTGACAGCTTGGCAGCTATTACTGGTGTCTGAGAAGATACACAAACTGGCAGTGTCTTCTTCTGACCAAGCTTAAGGACTATTACTATTTTTTTCAGTTGTCTGATCATTGCTTTGCCCAAAATGTGCATGGGGAACAAGTTCCAATAGTTCTTTTAGAAAATATTTACTTTAGATACTTAACTAATGGAGAAGAAAAAAAAAAAAAAAAACACACCCACAAATACTTCTCAATCCCCTAATCCTCTAGAATGCCCCAGTTAATTTTGTGTCCCAAGAAATTTTGTGACATACCTATCTCACAAGTACATGAAAAAGTATAGTAGACTATATGTATTTCAGAGGATCTATTGATCTGGGGCAAAATAAACCTCCACAAAGTTAAAAGTTCAATACAGCAAACTGCTGAGAACAACGCTTGATTTTACATACATGAAAAACAGTTTCATTATGGTCAACAAGACAACTCAAAGTAGGGAACGCATTCTGTTCAGTGAACTGGAACCTTAATATTAAAAATTATTCCATATTTATCTGTCACTGCTTACCAATATACTTCTATTAGTCTGTTACCAGTCTTACCTTCATAGAAATCCAATGTGCACATGGTGTTTCCAATGACTGTATTGAACTGGTTGATTTCTTTACTGCACTGCATCAGTTCCTTAGTGAGCTGCTCATCTAGGCTGGTACTGCGAATCACAGTCTTCCCCAGAACAACCTGTTCAAACTGAGGCTTGAAGGTGGCATCTACAGACTGCCTAGTTATAACCACTGAGCCTGGCTCCAGACCTGCAGTAAAAAGAAAAAGATGTAACTTCATGATGCAGTTAATGCTTTGTTTCCACATACACACAGAATTATAGAATCCTTTAGGTTGGAAGAGACCTTTAAGATCATCAAGTCCAACCATCTTGACCTAAACCTGCTCCTTTTAAAGGTGGCAATCCTACCCCTGAATTCACCAGGGAATTTTTTGCCTAGCTCCTTCAGTTTATCATTACAAATAATTTTTGAAAGAACAAGATCTTTCCCCTCTTCACTATATATTATCTCATATTTTTCCATACATGACACGAATTCCTCCTCCACACATTGTTAGATCTCTAAAGTGGATTTTCTCTATTCAGAGGCCTTTTCTTTCAAAATTATGGAAGTAAAATGGTTCATCTCCTGTGGAAAACTATTCTGACCATCAATCACTTGCAGAGGGATGTTTTACTCTCCTACAAAGATGCTTTGGTTTGAAGAAAACAAGAAATCAAGAGAGGAAATACCTATTCCACCAGAGGTCCCAATGCGAATAATGGTTATGTTGGAACACTTGGCATGATATAACAGTTTGATCAGCTCATGCAGCATGATTGAAATAGAAGGAATGCCCATACCATGCTGAAATGAAAGCAGAAATTAGTATTTGACACTCACATAGACAAAGCAAAATATATATAGAAGGAGCTGGACAATATCTCCTTCCTGATATTGTTTTACAATTGTCACCTAACTCACTCCCACAAAAGCCCTAACCTATGGGCCTACAGAAAGGCTACTGCAGGTAAACAAAGACTCCCTCCCACTGGCTTCTGTAGACTATGGATGAAGTACAGTATTTCTAAAAATCTTTATAAAATATTTACATTCTCAAAAGTATAAGTAGCATTCTCTCCTAATAGCTGACAAATGCACTTCATCACAGAACTTTTAGTAAACACAAGATAAACTCCACTTTTTTTTTTTTTTACCACCTTGTAGTGCTAGTGAATATTTAAGCTAATTTTTTTCAAAACACAGGCATTGTGGCTCAGTCACAAAGTTCAGCAAATGTAAGTCCACCTTAACTTGCATGATAATACAATAATTACAGCTCAAAAGAAAGGGTGCAGAATGATACTCGAGTTATGCAACTGAAGTATGTAATTGTATCTACAAATCAAAGGTATAAAGTTTTAAAACGCTTATTTAGGTTGGCAGCACAACTCCCATAGAATGCTGCTCTGAAGCTATGTCAGCCATTTGCCAATGCCACTGCAGACCCTTAGCTCTGGATGTGATACAGTAATTTATTGCAATACCCCGCATGCATAAGGTGACCTTTTTTCCCCATTATACAGGATACTGAACAGGGACAAGGCAACAGTAAGATTGCTCAAAAATTTATAATGCCATTCCTGCAACACCTCAGTGATACAGTGAGGAAAAAGGAAGAAAGAAAGAAATGAATGTCTCAGAGATTCGCGCTCTTACAAAGGAATGCTTAATTAGCTGACTGCTCTGTTTTGAGCATCGCTTCAGTGTTATAAATAAATGTGCATTCATCTTTGCTGCTTTGAACAGCAACATGGAACTGCGTCCTGTGCCTGATAAGTAAGGTACTTACACTGACTGACAAAACAGGTCCCACTTTGTACATGGCGTAACGGTCAGTTCCTGCACAGATGTTAGGGTAGTCACAACCAGGGCTCCCAAGCCCCAGTTCTTCGGCTATATAGGCAATAAAGGCTTTCATCCGTGAAGGGCTTCCTCCAACACATACAAACTGGGGTAGACAGCATTCAAAAAAACCCAAATTAATTCCACGATTCAGTATATCACAGAATATGCAAAGATCAACATGAGGATGCAAACACGTCCAGCTGACACAGAGCTATTCTGAGATGTGGTTCTTCTCATAATCAATCTAAAAGGCCATGAAGAAAAGCTATGGAAAAAATTCCCAGCCTCCTCCATAGCATTCAAATGCCTTCAACCTGTTTAAACTAGTACATATTAAAGATACATATTCGTTTAAAGGCTCCCCAAAAGGGAGTTCTACCTGAATAGAGACTGCAGCCTTTGCCCTTCTACTGGACAAAAAGAGATGGGCAGAAACAATAATCCCCAAATTTGCTTGATATTCAAAGTGACAAGAACGCACAACATCTTACCCCTTACCATTCATTCCTCAACTGGTGGTATGCTGACAAATTTTGAAGACAGCTGCACTTCATAAGCTTAGGCTTGCTAAATGAAATGAAGCATCTTACCTTTACATCGCCAAACAATGCTGGAAAATCATGGGTAGAAGTCCCCAAAGCAAAATGGTACAGGATGTCTTCTTCCATTTTCTCCAGGTGAGGGTTACAGAGACAGATAAAATTCTCTCTGTCAGGATAGCAGCATTGTGAAACATAAAAAGTATTACAAACTTCTACATCAAAGAGATGCTAATTTATCTTATTTTGGTTCCTCATGCATTATATTAAGAAATCCTAAATTTCATGACCATTTTACATCTTGTAATAAATCACATATGATATTTAACATTTCATTCACTGCACAGGACAAAATTGCTGAAGAAAAGCCCAGATGGTAGGATACATTTGCAACAGTGCAACCTTTATCTTAAACAATATTAAAGCTGTGAACCAGGATGAGTCTTAATGGCAAGTAGAACAATGGGAACAGGATCAGAAAATGTTCAGTAGACCATCTTACTACATAGACCATCTATAGCAAAGCTGAAAAGCAAACTTGACCTCTGTATTTTGACTGACCCTCCTAGGCACCTGAGAGATGTAGGAAGATGTGGGCTTCACAGACAGGCCCAAAGGGGATTTCTGGCAATTTGACTTACTATAATTCAGTGTCATCCAGCCAGGAGGTAAAAACTCTATGGCATGAGACTGGTAAGAAGAGTACAGAGGATGTGAAATAGGAAAGAGGCAGATGGAAATCTGAAGCAAAGACAAAACCATGGAAGAGGAAAAAAAAAAAAAAAAAAAAAGGTAAAAAAACCTAAAACAAACAAAACAAAACAAAACAGAAAGAGGAAGACATAAAAAAGAATTTACTTCCTTTCAAGTTGCTTAAGTGATACAGCTAAAAAACAAAAAAGGAAGAAAACCCTTCTGAAGAACCAGGAAATTACAAGGCAAGGAGGGAAAACTGAACTACTTAGCATGTGAATTGCCTTCATGGAAAATTTGTAGTGGACTAACTAAGCAAGCTGAGTGATTCATAAAATGTCTGCCTCCTCTGCTTGATGCTTTAAGTTTAGTTGAAACAGGTAGGAAAGACTAGTCAATAATTACAAGCTTAAGCAAAATACTGGCCAATCAAAGTTGTTTCTAAGAGATGAAATCAAGCAATAAATATCTTCCAGACTTCAGAAGATGACTTAATGAATGGCTCTCTGCAGCCACAGCATGGCTCAGCCCATTCAAACTGCTTTGTCAGAGGAGACAAACAAGAGTTTGCCTGGAATTTATGCAAAAAATTGTGAAGACTTTGCAGTAACAATTCTGAAGCCTCAACACAGTCATTTAGTGGTATTTTAGATGTTTTAGGTTATCTTGCCTGCATTCTACTGCATTACAGAAAGGCACTGCTTTTCTGTAGATCCTACATCTTATCTGTCAACACTTATCTCAAGAAGCCTAAAGTGGCTCCAGAAAATAAGGAAAATAGTTACAAACTAAAAATTTTGAGTATAATAATTATTTCTGTTCTTGAAATTCTCTTTCCAATGCCACTAACTACCCAGCAACTGCTTCACATCTGGAGAAGTATCATCCCAAACAACCCTGTGTCCCTGCCTAGATTATCACCTTCAGCAACTGAAAAAGCAGCCCAAAAAAGCTAAAGATCCAGTCACCCCTTTGGTAATGATTCCTTGCCATCTCCCATGCGCCCAGTTTGCCTCTCTCCATACAAATATCATCTGAAGTAGAGACAAAAGCTTTCGTTGCTCTTGTTCTTCCCTCTGAGAGACCTTTTTGACTCCAGGAGAAATAAAGAGCAGGTTTATGGCTCTTCAGAAAGGTGCAGACAGTCCAGCTCACACGAGCAGAACTCCCAGGCTGCCTCTGCTGAATTACTGTTGTTTGGTTTTGTGGAACTCCTTATCCATACTAATGCAGATCAAACAGCTGGCTGTGATGATGTTTACTGGCATGGCTTTTACATACAAATAGGATATGATTTGAAACCACTTTACAATTTGCTCTCAGGAAAGCAAAAAATATCTCCTTCATTATGAGAATACCAGCAATAAAAGCTTCTCTCCAGGAAATAAACTGTGAAAAGGTGAGGCCCCTATAAAAGGTACAGGAAAATTCATGGGGTATGTGCAAACACCACTATCCTCATGCCTGGCCTAGATACAGCTTCATTCCTCAGCAGCATCTATAGTTCACCTTTTTCATCCCATAGCCTACCAGCAACATTCATCAACCCATCGTCTCTCTGCAGCTAGGGGCTGTTACTAACTTGTGGGTTATCTGCCCACCCAGATCTAACTGTAGACTTGGACCCTGGGGTAAAATGGGCAATAAAAGTAAGCATATTCTATGTGTACATAGGACCAATGCCATGGATTTACAGTAGAGGCAAAGTTTGTCTGATAAAAACCTTTGGCTTGTAACTCTATGGAACAGAAAATTTATACCCCTCACACTGTTGTAAAGCACCTATAGCTTCTGGGAGTTTAAACAAAACTTGGATATCTGAGGACTAAACGTGCAGGTACAGCTTTCCTCAAATACACTTAATGTAAGGACCAGAGAAACAGACTGAAATATTTGTTTAAACTCTTGAAGCAGGGAGGTTTGGCCATATGCAACAACCAAAGTCAACATTTCAACAGGTCACTGGATTAAAAAAAAAAACAAACAAAACAAACAAACTCCATCAATTATGCTTGGACAAACTCACTGTCATGATAAATGAAAATGGCTAGCCAGTAAATCCCTCTGTGCATGTGTGGTTACAGCACATAAAGATTCAATTTGTCAAAACATCTTCTACTTGATACTTGATGTTATAATCAATAAACTGTATCATAAACTTTATCTTAAACTAAATAAGTGTGCTTTTATTTAAACTAAATGTGTTTGGGAAAGAAGATAAGTGTAAACCTGGACAAGATAATTCATTTCTGAATCTTACTTTGAAGACTGTTCATCATCAGTTTTCTTCTCATTTGAGACACCAGGAGCCATGTATGCTTATACCTAGAATTATATTAAAAATAAAATAGATAAGTGCATCAGAATATTCCCATCTGTAAAGTTTACATCATTAGCAGTGAGAGAAACCTTCATACATGATACTAGCATGAATATTAAAGCCCCAAAATAATCCATCCATACTACAGCTTTTATACCTGTAGCAAAATAAGGTTCTCCAGCCTTTTGTGGGCAAACCACCATTTTGAAACCACTGAAGTCAAAGCTAATACCTTGCTAATGCAACCCCCATTTCACCACTTCTTCTCTTCTGTGGTACAAACAACACCTGACTCACAAGCCAGAGGAAGACAAGTCTCGTAGCTAACTAACTAATCCTCATTCTTTGATATCTCCCACAGCAAGAGTGACTGCAGAACTAGCTTTAGCCCCGTTTCATCTCGATCTCTAGAGCGTCTCCCAAGCTCACCTCTAATTGTCATATGCCTGAAACAAATCCTGGAAGTATTTCATTCATAATACCCTCTTCATTAAACTCCTCCTACTGACCTTAGGAGCATTTCTATCTGTCCCAGCCTAAGTGTAAGAAAGAATAAACCAAAACATGACTCCAAAAAGTCACAGCACCCTAGTTCATCATCCATCTTGAATATTCTTTTTCCTAGTACATTACCCTAACCTATACCAAAAACCTCCTTTCTGCATTCTCCTTTACATTTAAATAGGCAAATGTAACACTGAGACTCTGGTACTGACACAACAACAGAATTATAACTATAGTCACTTCTAAAAATAATAAATCATTTTATGTGCCAAAGTTAGTATTTTCCAGGAATGTCCTTACAGGAAGTACTGAATCACAAAGCTCTGCTCTACCCTCCCTCGTGAAGGGCCTGAAAGCACGTAGGTTATAACAGAGACAGGACTATATCCTTAAAAAACTCTGGATTACACTACCAGGAAATAGAAGGAAATCAACATTGCAACGAAATTACATATGTCACTTTTGAAAGAACTTAAGAACCAAACAAAACAAACCTTGAAATCTGCCTGTTAAAAGCCACTGGATAATGGAAATGTATAACATTTTTTAAGGATGATTAGTTTTCTTCATTTAAAATATTAGCCTTTATTAAATAGATCTAAATTTCACACGTAGTAGATACAGATACTAAAGGTATACTAGAATCTATGCTCAAGGAGGTAAAGGATAAAAGTCACGTTTATAATCAACTATGCATCCTTATGGTTGTATGATTAGTCAGGTACCACAGGGTATTGCTACTATAACATGGACATCAAGGGAAAAATGCATAATTTGTCCAAGAAAACTACAGTGCCGTGAGTCCTAATAACAAGGAGTTGGAAGATACGAAGAAGAAACAGCAAAGTTACGTACCTACAAGACAGATGGCTCCAAATAAACTGAGGATATTCATTCAGCTGCTGTTCGCAGGATTAAGGAACCATGTGATTTTTAACAGTGTTCTTGGTTCTGTGATCCCCTAAGTAACGACGGATTCCAAAACACTGAGAATAAAGTTCTGACAGTCCAAAGGTCCATGATACCCTCCCTCTCCAACAGCACCCAGCCAAAAGATGCCTTGGCAGGAACCAAAGGCAGGGGCAAGCTGAAAGCTGTTTTCCCACGGCTGACCTTTCTGGCAATCAGGCAGGAACCGACAGGCATTCAATTTATAGCAAGCCACGAATTTCTCACGCTATCTAAACAAATGGAAATTTTTATAGCCATGTCAAAAGTGTCAGCCAAAAGTAAAACTGATGCTCGAGAATCCATTATTCCTAGCGCTCCTTTTTACCCTTCCCACCCCCTTTGGTTTTTTAACCTCAGTTAATATCATCTCTAAGGAAAAGCTGTAGTTTGGTGCTAACCCCTAATGAGAAACACCGAAGTCGCCGCGGACAGATTCTCACACCGCTGCTTCCCTCACCGACACTCGGTGCCG